GGGGCGCACGGCCGGGTCTCGGCGGGAGGCCGACCTTGACAGCGAAGAGGGCCGGGTGCTTCGGGCGGGCGCGGGCCGGGTGGGGCCTGCCCCGGCGTGCTCGTTCGTTTTCTGTTGACGCCGCTTGGGTTTACTCACCTGGTTAGGCGAGCCCAGTTTATTCGGAGTGGGGGCGGGGGCCGCGGCTGGCCGAGCCCCCCTCGGGAGGGCCGTGGATGAGTCGAATCTCCTCGCACGCGCGTCCGCGGCGGGAGCGGGGTGAGCGAGTCGCGCAGGTCCGGGGAGTGGGGCCGGGACCCCAAGGAGGGCAGACGGGCCCCGCTGGGGCTCTCAGCAAAGAGAACGGGGGAGAGGCTCCGGGGTCCGGGCCCTCCGGGGTCCGGGCCCTCCGAGGCCCAGAGGGGAGGCAGTGTGAGGGTGGAGGGAGCGGGCGCCCATCCGGGGCCAGGGCCTCGGCGTGGCGGGGCGGAATCCCGGGGCGTCTGGGGGCCCCCAGCCGCCGCCGCCGCGGAGCTCTTCCCAAGAGGCGGTCCGTCCTGCCATCCACCCGGTCCTGCGGTGCTGGGGAAGGCTGCAGCGGGCGGGGCTCTGGCATCCCCCCCAGGGGACCCGCGCGGGCACTGGTGGGCTGGGCTTCTGGCCTCGGCGGGAGGGATCTCGGGGCGACCCGGCCCTCGCTCTCGGGCACTAGACGTCCAGGTCCCCAGGGGCAGTGTCTCCTGCAAACCCAGGTGTGTTGGACCCACAGGCTTTGCTTTTCACTGTCTCAACTGTTCCTCTGGAAGGGGAGAACTCGGCGGTCAGGGGGGCTCCGATGGAGGGGATCAGGGCCGGGCGTGCCCCTTTAAGAACCACACTCCACCTTTACGGGCGGCACCTTCACGTTTGATTATGAAACAACGAGGAGAAGTCCATTTTTACTGTCCTTTTTCGTTTTTTTTTCCCCTTTTCTGTTTGTAGCAGCTGTAGCAAATAGGTATTTTGAAATCATAAGCCCACCACCATCATATCCACCCTCACCATCTCAAAGCCACTGCTTTCTGTTTTTCGGTTTCCTCCTCTCCAGATGCATGCACAACACAAAGCAGTTTCACTACCCTGATCGTAATTATCCTCATCTCATGGCCGAGTTATTTTCTCATACTCAGAGCATCATGTTTTAATAACCAGTTCCTAGAGTGCTCTGACCATTTGAAATGTTTCCCTTTTCGTTGAAAAAACAAAAAACAAACAAAAAAAAAACTCCAGGTAGAATAGGATTAAAGATTTTCATAAATCAAATTATCAGAAAAAACATGAACAGAAAATTGAATAAAAATATCAGACCTCTGGAAAAATTAACAACTCTCAGATTTGAAGAAGAGACAAAAAATCACCAATGAAAAGGAAGAGTTTTACTTCCACAAACATTGAGGGGTTCTTACAATGAAAAACTACAACCAGAAGGGGAAAGACAGCAGAGCTAGGGTGTAATTTGTATATGATTTGTATCCAACACAAATTTTTCATATTTGTGAAAGAAAAATACAAAATTATAGTAGATAAATGGTGAAATGATGGCTCATTTATAGAATAAAATGCCAACTAAAGCAAGTCTGGATTATCATTTTACCTTTGTTAACAAGAGCAACAATAATAATAATAGCAACCATTGCTGGAAGGTTGACTAGAAATTTGCATAATAAGTTATCCTGGGAGGTGGCAGGGCTTTGGGGTTAGAAACTCATTTCACAATTTGGGACCAGTTACCTAATTTCCTTATTGTCCTTTTTTCCCTTCATAAAGTAGAGGAAATGATACCTACTTCAGGAGTTTGCCAATATTAACTGTCTATGTAAAACTGACCTTTGGTATGTATCCTTTATTCTTTTCTTAGTCACACTGCACTAGGGACATTGTGAATCTGTATGAAATTTGTATAAAGCAATCTGGTGATACATTAAACCCTGACCCAGAAACCCCACTACTGGGAATTTACCTGCAATGGAAGAAACAACAAGGAAAGAAAAAAAAAAAACACATGCAGGCACAGAATTCAGAATGATCTAAAATTAGACCCAACTGAGAAACAACCTAAATGTGCAACAGCAGAGCATCAGCTAAGAAAATCATGGCACATTAACTGAAAGGAACATTATGTAACCAACAAAAGGCATGATTTTTGGACCCTGAGATACGTAGGGAAAAACTGACAAGTCAAAATACAGGTTACTGAACTGTATCTACTTACTCAGACATGAATGCATATGTGAAAAATCTGAAAGGAAAAGCACAAAAATATTTAATAGAATAAAAATGAAGTTTTAATAGAAATTAGAGGTGATTTAATTTTTTGTTGATACATTGCTTTTCTGTTCAGAAAATTAGAATTAGAAAATTTAATTCTATTTAGAAAATTTAGAAAATTATTTAATGTGATTTTTAAAATAGTTTATAGTACTCATTTTTTAATGAAAAGAACCCAGTTTTCTGCATGTGGGAGAGAAAAGGCCATTGTCATGTTTGCTGCTGCTTTTTTAACCAGCCTCATTTCTTTTTTCAATTACTGTCTTTTTTTCTATTGAATCGATTGATTAGTGGTTTAGTAATTTATATATAAGGTTTTCCTTTTAAAGAATCAGTTCTTAGATTTATTTGTCATTTCTAATATTTTTTCTTTGTTGTTGTTGTTCCTAAGGACTCCTGAATATATCTGAAAACTGAACAATTTCAGCCAAGCCGAATCCTTCTGTCTTCCCTGGGGCACGAACCCAACTTAGCTGAGCCACAGCAGATGTACGTACCTTCTGGAATCTCTTTGGTCTTGTGGTGGTTGAAAGTCCCCAGTTGTCACAGGTGATAAGGGCCTGGAAAGGCTGTGATCTCAAATCCTTGCTCTGGAGGCAACTTGGGTCTATAACCCATAAGCTGTTACATCATCCTTGTAAAATTATCTTGCGTTTGCAGGGAAAGGGCCACAGCTTTCTCTAGAATCATGCTGAGTTATATAAGGAAACCATTTAAAAAATAATGTAATAAAAGGGACAGCATAACATTTCTGCACCAGATTAACACTGAAGGTGACTATCAACTGACAAAAGGTTTTATGAAATGAATGTTTTTTAAGCTGTAGTTTTAACTTACCTATTCTGTTCTCCCATTTTGGATCTTATTTCCTCTTTTAAGGCACCTGGTATATTGGCTGTGAACTGCTGCATGTATGGAAACATTCAAAACATGCCTTATCCAAAGCAGTGATGGCTGTAGCAAAATAATGCTTGAAGGACTAGTGTGTGTAGCAGTTCTTACAGTTGGGAGAATTTTTTCTCAATTTGTTCATCTTTTTTTCTTCTAACTATGTTCTACTTATTCTGTTCCAGTATTGTGTGATCACATCAATGGAGGTGTACCCTTCTATGAAAAGCATTATAAATGTAAAGTGTTGTGCTTCTGAGACGTAGCTCTGAAGCCTGGCTAGGAGTGCAATTCCCTAGAAAGCTTTATTATAGATTCCTAAGTCCCATCGCCAGATACTCCCAAGTTGTTGGCCTGGAATAGACTCTAGCCGTGTTGCTTTTCTTTAAAGCTCTTCACGTAATTCTGAGGATGGATCTGGTTGGGGGCCTTTGCCCTATTCAGTCCAGAGCTAGGCCTCCCCCACCCCAAAATGATTTGTGAAATTTTGTATAGCTTGTGTTAGACTCTAAGGGACATTGAACTCAAAAGATGAAAATATGACAAATGAGTTCCACTTAGCTCAGGAAACACAGGAAATTTCCCTGGGGCAGTGGTGGGTAGGGGGACTGTTTGGTGCCAATTCCCAGTTTAACCATTTATGTTTCCATGTGTAACATGTTTTGAGTATAGAAGTTTGGCGCCTGTAACATGACCACTGGACAAGTTCCTACCAGCTCCCCATGTGTGAATGGGAATAGGATGAATGGAGTAATATATGGATCTTTTTTTGTTCTTTCTCTCTAGCTCCATTGTTCTGCCTTTCTGCTCACACGCCAGTGCCCCATGATCTTATTTATTGTACTTTTGCAATGCATTCCGATAGCTGGCAGGCCTGGTGAACCCTAGATTTTTTTTCCTTTTCAATAGTTTCTTTAGTCTTTTCTTAACTTTGAGTATCATTTCATCATGGTTTTTAAAATCCTCTTTGAATTAGGATGGAAATTGTGTTGACTTTATGATTACTTGAAGGTGAATTGGTATCTTTTTATATTGATTTTCCCAACCGAAAACATTGTCCATCTTCGTCGTTTTGCCAGTCTTCCAGCTTTCTTCATATAAATCCTACTATTTATTTTTGGGTTAAGTACTAGATATTTTGAGTTTTTAAATTGCCATTGTGAGTGGGATGGTTTTTTTTCACACTAAATCTTCTAAATAATTAGAACAGATTTGAGGATTCACATTTTTTATATATTGATTTCAAAAACTGCCACCCTGGTAAGCTCACTTACTATTCTAAGACATTTTTGGATTTTCTAGATCGAAAACCATACCTGCTATAAAATCTCCATACTGGTCTAAAATAACAGCGATTGCTTGCTTGCTTGTCGTGTTCACTACATTAATGAGAATGACTTCCCTGTTTCAGTTAAGATGGGGTGTGGGCTGTGTGTGTGACAGCTGCTTTTGATAGAAAGGAACTACCTTCTAGTTCTGTAGAAATTTTTTCAACAGCTTAAACATAACATCAGGAACACATGTTGATTTTAATTGAAAACATTTCAACATCTGCAGAGAATCTTCGTTTTTTTTCTCCTTAACCTATTAATAAGTTAATCGTTTTCCTGATTTTGAGCCATCCTGGTGTTCCTCAAATAACCCTTATTGGTCACAGTGTATTCTTCTTTTACTAAACCATCAAAATCAGCTTGGTGGTATTTCCTTTCGGATTTTAGCACCCCTGTTGCTGGAGGCTAGGTAGCCAAGAGTGTGAGCCTGTCACTCAAAGTTTGAATCTTGATCCTTTATCCCCATTGCCTATTAACGCTACTTCTCAGGTGAAGAGGCCCAAATGTTTATCTCTGCTGAGTTCCAGATTTTAGAACAGTTGCCTAAATTGATACTCCCACTTGAATGGCTCAAAGGTATTGCACAGTTAATATATCTAAACTAAAATGCTTGGTTTTCTCTCACAAGCATGGCCCTCCACCAGTTTCCTCTATTTCAGCAGATGGCATCACCACCACCTGCCTGGCTACGAAAGCCACAAACCTGATCAACTTTCATTCCTCTATCCACTTGTTGAAAAAATGCACAGCCTGAAAGTTGCGAATTGTGTTTTATTCAGTGGATTTTCTGAGGACCTCAAGCCTGGGAGACAGGCTCTCAGATAGCTCTAAGGGACCGCTCCGAAGAGGTAAGGGAGGAGCCAGGATATATAGGAGTTTCTGCAACAAAGACCATGTAGTTGGAACATCAAAAGATTACTGTTAATTTTTAAAAAGTAGATATTTCAAGTTAAGGAATTTAGCACTTTTCTGTGTATGGGAAGATGCAAGAGTCTGGCCTCATTGAAATCATTGCTTTGAATTGCACTTTAGCTGTGGAGGGCCAGGGTCCTGTTCTTTCCCATCCTGAGTCTCCTCGGGGTGCACCTTTGGGGGAGGCTGTAGTGCCTGACTGCTTGATGGCCGGGCATCCTGTTTCTATCCTGAGTTCCCTTAGGGCTCACCACTGGGGCGGTTGCAATGTGTTGGCTTAATGTCTGCAACTCCTTTGTTTACTGATATGGCAGGCAGTATGTTTTTCATTCACACACTCCACCAGCTTAATTGGTTCTTTCTGCAAAATACGTGCCATTTATTCACAGCTCCCCAACTGCATTGTCACCATCGCCAGGCCACACTACCATCTTCCTTCAATCATTTTCTAATTGGCCTTACCATTTTCTTTCTTGCCCCTCCTAAATTTTCTTCTTACACAACAGTCAAGGCGAACTTTGTAAAAAGAAATCCTATGATGTTATTCTCCTAAGACCCTTTAAATGGCTTCTCACTGCCTTTCAGACTCTAGACATTTATCTGTTTTTGGTTCTTGACCCCACAAACTAAATATCTTACTCCTGTTGTGTCCTCAGCCACAGCACAATGCTAGACCCTTGGAAGATATTTAATAAATATTTGTTAAACGAATCAGTAGTTATTGTGCTATAACTTTTTTCTCCATTTCTGCTATGATTATTGGCCAGATTCTCTGTTTCTTTAAAAATGGGTACATACTAGCTGTTTCCTAAGTAATTTGTTTAATGCATTGATTCTAACATCAGTTTTTGTAATTTATATTTTAATAGAAAGGCAGTCCATCCCACACTGATTTTTTAATTCATAAAACTTTTACTTTTCACAGCTAGGTCTCTAATCCATTTAGAGTCTGCTTTTTCACGTGGTGTTAGGGTCCTAGTTTTATTTTCCTCCAGTTTCCCAGAAGCATCTGAAGCATCTGCTAAACAAACTTTCCTTTTCCATTGATTCATGGTGCCCGCTGTATCAGGTCCCTATGAAAGTACATGAACGTGGGTCTGTCTGAACTTGCTGTTCTGCTTTCGTTGATCTCTCAGTCCATTCCTAGACTTACCATACGGTCTTCATTACTGTGGCTTTGTAGTAGGATTTAACATCTGCTGACAGTACATTCTCTCCTCCGTTCCTTTTGAAGGTTGAGTTTGCTATTCATGAACATTTCTTACCTCTTGTGGGTCTACTGAACTCAAAAAATTCAGCTGGAATTTTGATTGTCACTTGATTGAAATTATAAGTTCATTTGGGGGTAATTGACATCTTTATAAACTAAGTTGTCCCAGTCAAGACCTTTCCATTTTTACTGATCATCTACTATGTTCTTTATTAGTGAATAAAAATTTTCCCCTGGTCTTATTTTTGCTTGAGTTAAGTCGATCCTAGATAATTTACAGTTTTGGCTGAAATTATGAATATCCTATTTATTAGTTTTTTTCTAGTCTATTATTGCTGGTGTACAGAAATGCTGTTGATTTTTGTAGGCTGATCTTGTATCCCACAACCTTGGTGAACTCTAGTACTGAGTCTTGTGTTCCCTCTGTTGAGTCTGTTGGATTTTCTATGTGTATGATCACATTAATTGCAAATAATGACAGCTGGAGCTCTTTCCTTGCAGTTCTTGCACTGGCTGCTGCTTACAGCATCGGAAGGACCTCCAGTCCTGTGATAGTGGACATCCTTGTCTTGTTTCTGATCTTAAAGGGACTGCATTCAAAAGTTACCTATTAAATATGTTTGCTGTTTTTGTTATATAATCTGTCAAGTTAGGAGAGTTTCCTCCTATTCCTAGTCTGCTAAGAGTATTTTTCTTAGTGATAAATAGATATTGACCTTTACCAAATACTTAATGTCTTGAAATGTACCAGAGGTCTAGGCCACAACAGGACCTTCATTGAGACTATCCCATGTGAAGTGTCATAGCACAGCCAGGCTTTTAGAATCCCGGTCTGCATTCCCAGTTAACACTGTAATCACAGATACGTCACTTGACTTTGCTGAATCTTGGTGGCCTAATTTGTAGAGTAAGAGGTTTGGATTAAATAATATGAAAACCTTCTTTATTTTATCACAAACAGATTCTTTAAGGTCTCACTAAGTTTTGAGTCCTTATCCTTAAAAAGGATTCTCTGCTTCAAAATGTAGTTGTTATTTTTTATGCTTTTCATAGTTAAATGTTGCTTTTGTTCTCAACTGATTTTAAAATGATCTTGTCTTAACATAGTTTATGATTATCTAACTTTATCTAATCAATTTTTAAAGTACTGATCAGCGACCTGTGCCCACGGCCATCATGCCCTGTTGCCTGTGTCTCCAGTCCATGGTCCTTCCTCAGCTCCATACTCACCAACCTGACTGCCACTGGTATCTCTTGTCTCACATGTAGCTTGATAATGGCATTGCCAAAGCCACACCCCTCATGTATTTCCCTCCAGACTTGCTCCGCCTCCTGTGTTCTGTCTACACAATTGCCCTTTCCAGAAACCTTGGTGCCACCTTGATTTTTCCAGTCTCTCACCTTCCACATCAAATACCAAGCCTTCCAGAAGGTGATAATCCCCTCGTTCAGTTCCCTGAGATGTTTGAGCAGAATTGTGAGTGGCATGGAGGCCAAGAGCTGAGCCCCACGAGCAAATGGAGAATCAGGGAAGCAGGCCTGCAGGAGACTAGGTGCCAGGAGATTTGGGAGCAAGAATGAGGTCAGTCGGCATGTCCCAGGGCCCTGCCCCTCTGACCCTTACCCAAAAGAGCCTCCAAAAAATCCTAACTGGCATATTCTGAGCAGTTTAACTGGGATTGTAACTTTCAAATCTTTTTATTTACACCAACACATTTCAGTAATGATGGCAGAACCATAGTGGGATGCCAATTCGTTTACTTGTTTAATCATTCCTCCCCTGAACATTATCCAGTTTCGTCTTTAGTTCTGAAGGTTATGAAAAATAATTTTATAATATTTGATGCCACTTTTACTTGAAGCTGTTCTGGTGCTGGGGATAAGACTAATAGCAGCATTACAGCATATGCCATTTTTGGTTTTGGAGCACATGGCATTTTGGAGCAGCAGTTTGACATAGGGTGCGGGAGAAACTGTTTAATGATCATTCTATATGTCTTTAATCTCTGCCCTTGGAACCGAGCACTGAGGGTAAATGAGATCTTCAGTCTGAAGTTGAATTGATGAATGGACATTCTGCAAAGGTTCATAAGTTACCATGCAGGATACTTTTATCCTAAACTGTGCCAGCCCTTTTATTTGAGATACGTGTCTTTTGTACCAAAAATTCACAGAAAATAAGTCACTCATGAACCATTAAACGCTGAACTGCAACTCAGTGAGTGAGTGACTGCAAATCTTGTGAACTCAGCCTTTCTTACCCCATTTTGAGCAGCCTCATTTGTCTGTCTGTAGAGAGAGAAATGAATTTATAAGTGGACTTGCAAAATCTTGCACGTTTCCTGTTTCCAAAAATTATTATATTGAGAATTCCTTTGAGGAAATTCCTACTTGACAGGTATCTGTCGTGCACCTGTTCTGTCCCAGGCACTGCCCTAGCCCCTGAGGAGACGGCAGCAGACAAGAGAGACTCATTCCATACTTACATTCCCACATGAGGAAAGGAGACAGGCGCCAGCTATTTAGAAAGTCATTGAATGAACTCAGCATCTACCTGAGGGTCTTCCTCACCAGACATTAGAATCACTTCCATAGCGGCCATGCCAGGCTCTCAGAAGGTTCCAGAGGGGCCACACTAGGTCCCTCAAGGCAGTCTACACAGCAGTCAGAGACTTGTCTCTACCCCCAGCCCCAACAAGTGACTGCTCAGGTGCAAGGGAATGAGATCTGTATTGGTGGGTATAGGAGTCCCCTTGGTGTAGAAGCCCCAGGCCCCATAACAGCCCTGATAACCCTCATAGCAGCCAGTAAGCAGAACTGCTAGGATCCCCACAAGAACGTGCCTGGTTGCAAGAATCACTGCTTAAAGAAGCTCAAGGCTGTGGCAGACCCACCAGGTGTTTATAGTTTCTTACAGTTAGAATGCAGCGTTATCAGTCAGATTATTTTTTACCATTAGACATGTTGCTGGCATTCCATCTTTATCAAGTTTCTGGGAGACAGCCAGAAATTACCTTAAGGTCAAATTTGTCCTTAGAGGAGAAGAAAGAGTTGTGTTAACCCTTTACTTACAATTACTTTTACTGTGAGTGTTGCAAAAGAGACGTGAGGAACGCGAGGAACATTCATGCATTATGCTGCAGGTGTTACGTGGTTTCAGCATAAACATAGGACGCTGACACCCTCTTTATTTTCCAGATAAATCATCATGGTGAAAAGCCACATGGGCAGCTGGATCCTGGTTCTCTTTGTGGTCACGTGGAGTGACATGGGCCTGTGCAAGAAGCGCCCAAAGCCTGGAGGAGGATGGAACACTGGGGGGAGCCGATATCCAGGGCAGGGCAGTCCTGGAGGCAACCGCTATCCACCCCAGGGAGGGGGCGGCTGGGGTCAGCCCCACGGAGGCGGCTGGGGTCAGCCCCACGGAGGAGGCTGGGGTCAGCCCCACGGAGGCGGCTGGGGCCAGCCCCATGGTGGAGGCTGGGGTCAAGGTGGTGGCACCCACGGTCAGTGGAACAAGCCCAGTAAGCCGAAAACCAGCATGAAGCACGTGGCAGGAGCTGCTGCAGCTGGGGCAGTGGTGGGGGGCCTCGGCGGCTACATGCTGGGGAGTGCCATGAGCAGGCCCCTTATACATTTTGGCAACGACTATGAGGACCGTTACTATCGAGAAAACATGTACCGTTACCCCAACCAAGTGTACTACAAGCCAGTGGATCAGTACAGCAACCAGAACAGCTTCGTGCATGACTGCGTCAACATCACAGTCAAACAGCACACGGTCACCACCACCACCAAGGGGGAGAACTTCACCGAGACCGACGTCAAGATGATGGAGCGCGTCGTGGAGCAAATGTGCATCACCCAGTACCAGAGAGAGTACCAGGCTTCGTACGGCAGAGGGGCCAGTGTGATCTTCTCCTCCCCCCCTGTGATCCTCCTCATCTCTTTCCTCATTTTCCTCATAGTGGGATGATGGCAGCCTTCCTGTTTTCATCATCTTCTTAATCATCTTTACCCAGTTGGGGAGGGGGTATCTACCTGCAGCTCTTTAGTGGTGGTGTCTTATTCTTGCTTCTCTCTTCGTCACCTGTAAGCTAACACCCTTGGCACTTGTCGCAGTAGAGAATGGAGAGTAGACCTGGGATGGTATTTGTTCAAGCCCCATTTGATTGACTCCTTCATGGGCCAGTGTTAGTGCTGGGCTGGTATGAGGGTAACAGCGAATAATCGTCAGTTGATCTAGGCTTATTTTTTGTCTAATGCAACAGATTAAGGCTAAAACCATTCTGAAAACAGCTTCAAATACCTTTGCCTAAGTATCTCCAGCTCCTTTTCCAGCTAGAGCTTAGTACACTAATTCCCCCTTTTCACAGTGATTTTTGTGGCAATTTTCTGATTCATTTTAAGAAAATCAGACTGCATTTCCCTGTTCAAATAGCATTTCTACCAAATTTGGAAGGAGACCACAAAATACTCATTCAGAAAACAAAACTTGAAGTCCTTAGCTCATGAGCTCAACCCGGTGGAGAGCATGTGTCCTGTGTCTGCAGAGGCTGCAAGGATGTTTTGCATTTTGCAGCACGGGTTACACAGCAGCTGTTGCATTAAGAGTCAAGTTTTCATGCAGCACCAGGCTTCTGGGCAGAGGACGTCTTCACAGGGAATGAACACAATTAACATAATGTGAAAGGCTTCTGAGTCTAAAAAACTCCAACACAGGGGAGAGGTGCCCTCAGAGGCAGCCTCCCATTTTGGATGTTTAAAGCACCTACATGTGTCCTTTAGTAATACAAACTATAGGTAATTAAGTGGTAGAAAATTAAACTACCTTCTGGACACTAAGAGCAAATATCCTTTGTTTACGTAGAAACCGGAATGATTTTGACATTGTTTGGATGAAGCCAGGAGATTTTTAACAGAGGAAGCTGCAGCTATAAAAATACCATATTTATTCAAGCCCAGTTTGATTGAATGGTAGACCAATACTAGTGTTGGACTTTTAAGAGTGTAACAGCAAATATAGAGGATTATATAATGAAGAAAATGAGTAGCGTGCAAAGAAAAGAAATGCTTGCATTTCTTTATTGCTGTCTCATAATTGTCAAAAACCAGAATTAGGTTCTTAGTTTCTGTAATTGGCTTTTTTTTTTTGTAATTGGCTTTTGAATCAAAGAGTAGGGAGGCATTCCAAAAAAAAGCTTACGTTAGAGGTGATAGAAATATGATCCATTCACAGTGGAAAAAGAATTCTGTTACTGTTATTTAAATAAGGTAAAATTGTTCCCTGGATCGTCCAGTATTGTCACCTAGCAGATACGCATTACTGTTTGGCTTGCACTTTGCGAGTATCGTATGTTTAAAAAAATTATGCATAAATATATATATATACTGCATATGACAAACTTAGAAATTTTGGTTAGAGCAGTTAACATCGGAAGCGCTTTTGTAAGGTACTAAATACGTAATACTTAAAGGGGAAACCCTTTTGCGTGGCCCTTAGGCTCACAGCGTGCACTGAATAGTTACAAGGATCCAGAGTGGCACTTGAAATACGCATGTACTTTATATTTTCTATATTTTGTAACTTTGCATGTACTTGTTTTGTTGTATTAAAAGTTTATAAATGTTTAATATCTCACGGAAATTAAATAGGAGCTAAAATGAGCATCTTCCATGGAGTTTGCAGTTGTATTCACAGTGCTGCCCCATGCTGGCAGCGTCACTTCGGTCCTCACCCCGCCTGTCCTGGCCAGTGTTTCACACACGCACCCCGCCCCGGCTGCAGCCTTACTCCCAGTCGCACACCAGCTGCTCTCTGCTGCCTTTTCATTCTTTTCTGCAGGTACTTCAGTGTGCTTGTCACCAGGTAAAGGGCAAAGTCACCGTTGCAGCAGGGGAAAACAGTCCTTGAATTCCGGAAGCGTTTTTCTGTCCTGGATTTTGAAATAGAGGAGTTTCTTGATTAAGATGAGACTTCACAAACTAAAGTTTCTACTTGACGCCCATCCCCGCCCCCAACACCATCTCAGGTTATAAGCTGTCTCCAGTGCCTGTGAGACCTGGTGACAGTCGCTCTGGGTTGAAATTCGACACTAGGTTCAGTAGGCCACTGTCCTTTGTCACACACTTCCACTCATTCTTCACATGTTTCCTGCCTTCCTCCTAAGTGTGAGGTAGCAGCTCTGTTCCTTGGCAGGGGTTTCCTTCTGCAGCTGTAATTTACCAACAGCAGGAAATCATAAAAAGTTACAGTGGGTTGAAATAATATTTATTAATACTTTAGCAAATGCTAGTATCCTTCAAGTATCTAATCAGAGGTTCAATTTTGTATTAAAAATGTACAGATAAAGACCAACATCTTGAAACCTCATTATTCACAAAACCACTAAAATGACGTATACAAAGTCGCTAAAGCTTTACTCAATCCTTAACAAAAATTTCTAGGACTATTTTCATGCTGCCCTTTTGGCCGTATTTCTAATTATTTAGAAATAAACTCTTAAATATCTGCCCATCATAATTTCTCAAAAATAACCCACCAAAAAGACTTTAATCATTCAAAGCAGAGGTATTTGGAGGGCCAAAGAGAATGTTATCCATATGTGTCTTTCTCAGGCCGTCATCTTTCCTTCCTGTTCCTTCCAATCCCTGTGAGTTGTACTAAGGGAATTTTTACTTTAAAAAACTGAAAATCAATTTTAAATGACAAAGTAACTGAGTCTAACCCTCCCAGAGGGTTCTTCCAGAGAAGTGTCAAGTGTCAGCCTTTGTTCACATTCCTCTGTCTCTGGGGTCAAAGCCAAATAAGTGTCCTCTGCCTTTGGATGGAATTTGGGGTGTGTACTGCTTCCCACCCTAGTGGGAACCTTAATCCTGCCAGAACCCGAGATTCCCCAGGCTCAGGCCCTGACCGTGCAGTGGTCTAAGCATGACTGACCTGCATAGTTAGTTTCCCCTGAGAAAGGTCAGCTCCTCTCCAGCTCTTCGAAACCGCTCCCAGAGGATTTAGCTCCTCCTGCGTTGAGCTTTCATTTTCATCCTTCGCCCCCCGTCTTGAGAGGCCTACCGCTGTCCTCCGGGAAGCCACGCCTTCCACTGCACACGCCCAGGCCATGCGCTTCCCCTCTGCCTTGGCACAGCTGTCCTTTCCTTGAGAGCTGGTGCTCCGTCCTTGCCCTGGAGCAGTGCCACTCAGACTTGAGTGCTCACCCGTCTGCAAGTCCTGAGATTCTGTGTTTCTCATAAGCTCCTAGGTGATGCCACGCTGGGCCTGTGGCCCTCTCTGGAACCAGGCCTTCGGGGTTCGCACACTAGAGCCTGCATCTGGACCTCCTGAAGGCTTGTTCAACACTGCTGGGCCCCACCCCACAGTTCTGAGCTCAGAGTGCAGCTTGGGACCTGAGGATTTACACTTCTAACGGATTCCCTGACGATGCTGCTGCTGACGTGGAGGTCACACATGGAGCACCTGCGGGGGAGACCAGAAACCTGCCTGGGAAATAAGAGCCTGGGAAGAGTCCCTGGGAGGAGACAGCCGGGAACCCCAGGGATGAAAGGCAATGGAGATGGAAGGAGATGATCAGCCCCTGCTGTCTGAAAGGCAGGAAGCACAGGCGAGTCCTGAGACCCACCGTTAGCGAGAGGCTCTGCTACATCGGGAAGGGAACCCACCCTGCAAATGCGGCGCTTCTCAAACTCATGTGCACACAAATCACCTGAGAACCTTGTCAAAACGCACGTTCTGAGGACACAGGTTTGATGTGGACTTGGAGATTCAGCGTCTACGAGCTCCCAGGTGATGCGATACTGCTGGTCCCAGGGCCACACTGAGACGCAGGGACCTAGGGGCCCGAGTCATCTCTTCTCAGCCTGGCCGAGCCTTGGAGAAGCTCTGAAGGCGCAGGAGTGCGGTGGGGGGTCGGGGCCGTGGGGGTGCTTCACCTTCTCCTGATTTTGCCCTGAGTGCTGCCTCTCCTGCTTTCAGAGCACGGTCCTCCTGCCTGGCCCGAGTCAACGGAACCAGCCTCCTGCAGGCAGCAGGGAGGCCGGTGTGTTACTCATCTCAGAGCCAAGCAGAGTTGGTTAGCTGCCCCTGTAGGAAGTCTCAGACCCAGAGACGTTCTGTCACTTGCCCAAGGTCACACAAATAGCACGTTCCCCAAAGTAGATTGTGGAAACTCTCTGCCGTGGGTTGGTGATGATTTGGGCTTGGCTCAGAGGTTCCAGGCCTCAGGCACCGTTCACAACTCAAGGCCTCTGTGAAGCCGCCACCATCCCCCAGGTCTTCTGCAGGGCTTCAGCTGCAGGGGACTCAGCTGACTCCAAAGGGAACTGGAGGAAGAGTCAGAAATCCTTAAGGCAAGCTCGGCCTAAAATGCCTCCTACCCTGGCCTGATCAGCAAACGTAGTAGAGTATGAAAAGGGGAGCACCACAGTATTTAACCACAGTGGTTGAGTTCAAAACCTGCTTGTTCCTTCTTCAATACGTTATCCTGGAGAAACTGCTGGTATCAAGAGCTGATGGAATTGTCCCCAGGTGGTGTTACCTATATGTAGTGAAGACTCAACTCCATTTACTCAGCATTAAATACTAAAATTTCCTCAAGAAAAAGCTATGGTCTTTGATAAATGAATGAAGGATCTGCAGGTTGTTTCATGCACCAGTTTTTGTGATGCCTTTTCTGCGAAGTGATGTTACTCCTTCTACAAACGATTTCAACAATTTTCTTCCACTTGGTGGAAACTTTACCCTTTTCCCCAGAGATGACATTCCTCTTGACGTCTCAGTCTGCCCAGCAGGGGAAGTCCCAGCTGTTTCTTCTCCACCTAGCAGGGAAGTTCCGCAGGTGAGTAAGGACACACCCTTCCATGCTATGAGCTAAATTTTCGGCAAGACGGGGTGGAGCGAATACCAGGCCTTGAGCAATGGAGGCCTTCATTTGAGCCTAGTTTCTGAACTGCCCACGTTGTATCCCTGTCTTACTCACCTTGACCTGCTTACCCTTTTCAGGGGCCTTGCTGTATTGTTGAAGAACCAGATGTCCCACCTGAATAACTCGTGTGATGTTTTGGCTTTCCTTCCATTGGTTCTCCTTCTGTTTAATTTTCCCTCCCAAGTTTATACCTGGTCCTCCTTCCCTGTGTGTCATCTCACACCTACATTCACTTCCACTTGAGGTCAGGAGATCAGAGAAGACGGAAGAGGGGCACTGGTTCATGTCCAGTTGGAAAATTCTAAATATGGCAGCTAAAGTGAAGGGGCAAGAGGACCCGGTCAACCTTGAAATCAAGGGTGGATGTGGACTGTGATCTGCTAGTAGAGACATATCTGTGCTGGATGGATCCTTCCCCTGGCAGCGACCATCATCCAGGCTTAGAAAGGAGAATGCATTGTTCAGTGTTAGCCCTTCCTCTGGACCACAAAGCTGAGTTAGATGGAAAAATCTGCAGGGCAGAAAAAGTTGTAAGAGAAATCCATCAGGACACCAAAGATGTCAACTGTCCCCCTCGACATCTTCCTCCCGACAGCCCTCTATCTGGCAATCCTGTCCTCCACTGGTGCACCCGAAATAGAACACTACCCCCTGCCCATCCTCACTTCCCTCCAAAAATTAGTCTCGTCATCTTCCTTCCAGGCAGTTATCTGCAGACTTCCACCATGATGATCACCACTTCCTCTACACTCTGTAACCCTTGCCTGGTACCAACCATCACACACACAGAGCCAAGCGGCTGTTTCATGGATTGCAAATGTTAGCAACCATAGCTTACTACCTTCTTTTTCCCAAGCCTAATTTAAAACTGTATATCAAACACATCTCTTATTGCCCCCAACAGACACTCCTACGGTGCCTCTGTTCCTTTTCTCATGCTGTTCCCTCCACCTGGAATGTCTCCCTTGCCCCCTCTCCACCTGGCAAGTCCCTGTGTATATATATACATCAAAACCCAGCTGAAATATCCATCCCTGCCAGACTTCTTGGTGCGTTTGATGAAACCTTATGGACACTACTCAGAATAATGATTTTAAATGCATAAAATATAGAGGTCACACAGGAAACCAATTATGCTGAAATAGTGATCAAAACATGTTTATACTGATTAAATGTCAATATCTAAACACTCACTAAATGAGACCTACTAGCGGGCCTAATGACTTCGCAGCTATGAGAGTAAGGGATGTTTTGACATCTGCTACACCTGGATTTAGGGTGATCGTCTTGCCCTGGTTTGCCCCATAGTTCCTGTTTTGGCACTGAAAATTCCATGTCCTGGGAGCCCCCTCAACCCCTGGCAAACTGGGACAGTTGGTCGCCTTACCTGTCATGTGACCTGAAAACATCAGTGATTCTGGTGGGTTATGGTCACTGGTATGGCTAAGGCTACTGCGTCTGCTGCCTGCGTTCTTCATGGAGGAAAGGCTGCATTTCAGGCATAGATTAGTAGAAACAAAATTGTGATGGTTTTTCCTATCCAACTTAATGTATCTCCCAAATTCTATCTGTGGACAGCCCCCTTCCTGGTTAAGGACCTCTGCGACCAGCAGGACAAAGTTAGGCCTAATCTCTGCTAATCTTTATACTTTGCTTTCAGCTCTACTATAACTTACCAAACTATGGTCACTGTTTATTTAAACAACACAACGAAACTTCTCCATTGAGCACC